CCTGTCAAAAACAAATGCCGCATTCATAACATTCACTGAACCGTTTCGTTTTTTCTTGCTGAGAGTGTATAACCACTAGATTAGGTCTATTCAGTTTATTTTTCTTTCTACTTCTTTGACCCACTCTTTTCTGAAGGCTCCCAGACACGCGTTTAAAAGCCTGTTTTGTTTGAGGCAAATAGCCTTCTCAGCAAAGTCTTTTTCAATAAAACACAAAACAGTCATTGATCAAGGTTCATTCTCACTAATGAACGCACAAACATGCAAGCAAGCTTTACAGTTGCATTAACATTTTTGAAAGTGCAATGGACAAACTGTAGGTCTAGAATCTAATATTATTTGAAAACTTACCTTCTCGAGTTGCTCTAAACACGAAGCCTTTAGTGTACTCTAGAGGGAAGAAGTAAATTACACTATTCCTCCAAATGAATCGTTTACTCCACACCACAAATCTGATACACAAAGGCACTTTCTTTTCAACAAATAACCAAACAAACTCAATATAATCACCCTCTAAAGTCGAGAACGCACCGAACTTGATTCAAACGATATAATAGCATCTAGATCTAATATTATAAGAACAAAATTGTTGAATCACTCCGTCTTTCTCTGTGCGTTCTCTCAGACTACAGAAGCTCTCCCTTTGGACTTTGCTCTAGGGGAGAGACAAGCTACATCTTTCACAGTGCGGCTGGGTCTGTCTGCGCTGTGGTGGCCCCGGTATGGGCTAGACGAGAGATTATTATTCCCACAAAATGTATGGCTGAGAGAGCGAGCCGAGCACAGGAGTTGAGAAAAGCCCCTGTTCTATTTTTGGCCGCTCCCATTCCACACGACCGGTGGTACAAGTACAAAAATAATTTTGGGGTCTCGGCTCCTAACATTAGCCTACTGACCTGTCCAGCCCAGGTATACAGAGGCCGGTCGCAATTATTATTTCACACATTTCTCTTTTTCTGTCGTTCCGCATGATGCAGTTAACCCAGTTGACTCACTCTCTCTATCACAGTATCCCCGTCTTTGTCTGTCACTTCCCCATCTCTCCCTGTCTCTCCCTCCACCCCTCCCCCCTCACTCTCCCTAGTTCAGCCACTTTCTTTGTCTCTCCTTGTCTCTCTATCTGTCTGTCACATCTCTCTGTCTGTCTGTCTGTCTGTCTGTCTGTCTGTCTGTCTGTCTGTCTGTCTGTCTGTCTGTCTCTCTCTCTCTCTCTCTCTTTCTTTTTTTTCTGACGCATACTATATGTTTATTCATTCACACATCCATACACATCATAAGAACCATCCACACAACATCATAAGAACCCTCCACAC